AAGAAGAAGAAGAGGATGAATCAATAGAAATCACAGTTGAGGGGGAAAATGTCCCATACTTGAATATTCAGTAATTCATCTACTTGCATGGTCCACTCTACATACTTTCATCTTTAAATAGGACACAACTGTCTTGGAAGCCTGTGGACCAGAGAAAGGTATGGCATTGCTAGCATGTTATAGATGTGTACATTTTTTAGATGTAAAACTATAGACAACTTTATTCCAAATATATGATGCAGACTTTTATTTTTGGTGTGTTTGAGAATGAGACACAACCCCACCTTGCATTCAAACAAACAACAAAAACCATTGCTGTCTTAGTGTTATTCTAATGCTGTTTAGATAGAGCCTTTGATTGTGTGTTCAGTAAGGAAGTTTTAACTGAATCAAACTGAACAGAGTTTCTCCTAGGCATGCTGTCCTACCATTTCTACCTTTTAATTCATTTTCTTTATAAATCAAGCAATTTGCCCCCGAAGAGTGCTTTTTCAGGCTTGTTTTCTTGCATGAAGTTTTAGACCCATCTACTTTGCTAGTTTAACTTAGGCTGTGTCTGCACTACACTGTGAACTAGGGCTGAGAGTCCCCAGCTTGTGATACTTATGCTAGCTCTCATTGAGCTAGCGAGAGAATAAATACAGTAGAACCTCAGAGTTCCGAACACCTTGGGAATGGCGGTTGTTCGTAACTCTGAACAAAACGTGATGGTTGTTCTTTCAAAAGTTTACAGCTGAACATTGACTTAATATAGCTTTGAAACTTTACTATGCAGAAGAAAAATGCTGCTTTTAACCATCTTAATTTAAACGAAACAAGCACAGAAACAGTTTCCTTACCTTGTCCAGGGACGGCTCCAGGCACCAGCGCAGCAAGTGCGTGCCTGGGTCGGCAAGCCACGGGGGGCGGCCTGACAGTCGCCGTAAGGGCAGCAGTCAGGCGGCCTTAGGCGGCGTGCCTACGGGAGGTCTGCTGGTCCCGCAGTTTTGGCGGCAATTCAGCGGCGGGTACGCTGAAGCCGCGGGACCGGCAGATCACCTGCAGAAATGCCACCGAATCCGTGTGACCGCGGACCGCCCGCAGGTGTGCAGCCGAAGGCTGCCTGACTGCCGTGCTTGGGGCAGCAAAAAACAAAGAGCTGCCCCTGACCTTGTCAAATCTTTTTTAAACTTTTCCTATATTTTTTTAGTAGTTTCATGTTTAACACACTACTGTACTGTACAGTATTTGCAGTATTTGCTTTATTTTGTGTGTCTCTGCTACCTGATTGTGTACTTCCAGTTCCAAATGAGGTCTGTGGCTGACCAGTCAGTTCGTAACTCTGAAGTTCTACTATAGCAATGTAGCTGTTTTAACATAGGTACCGGCAGTGGAGGCACAGCTGAGCGTCTGGTTTCCGGCAGATTTGTACTAGGCACAACTCAGCTGTGCCTCTGCTAGCTACGTTGCTATTTATACTCTCACTAGCTTGACGAGAGTTAGCGTGAGTATGTGAACCTGAGCAGGGGAATCGCACCCCTTGCACATAGTATAGGCACAGCCTAAGTGTAAAGCATTGAGGGAAGTGACTCATTGGGCTTCAATAACATACGGTTGAAAATAAGATGGAGAGACAAAGAGTAGAGAGGAAAGTGAAGAATAAAACAAGGGGATAACCAAAACAATCAGAAATAAATATTTTTACAAAATACTCCCCCGGTCATGTAACATCTTGTTCCTATTTTAATTTTTGATTGTGTCTAACTGGCTTACTCGGATCATAAATAAGAGATTTCCCAGTCTTTTCTTCATTCCTGGAGGTTTTTAGTTCTCATTTACTGGCCTCTTGCTAGTTATTTAAATTGATTATATACATTTTTTTTTGTAAATTCTAAATGCTTCAGAAACATTACATCTGGTTAAAACACTTTGTTATCCAGCCTCTTTCTCTCATGCCTTACTTGCTTACTTTTTTCCAGTGTGAAGGTGGTGTTGCCTATCTTGCCATTAGTGGTGGAAAGATTTTTTCTTTCACTCTGTCTCACACATGCACACACATTTCCTCTTCCATCCCACCCCCCATTTTCTTGTTTTTAAATTTCAATACTGAAAGTGTAGGTTTCAAGGGTACGCAGCCAGGAGATCTTCGTATATTCAGGGTCGTACAAACATGAAAAAATTAATCCACATAGCACTCCTGCGTAGGCAGCTAATTTTCCTATAAAGCAAATAACTGACTTACCCAGGGTTACATAATAAGTGGCAATGCTAGATCTGGGACTTCGCAACTCCAAAAGTAAAGCTGTATGGGGCATGATAAAACATAATATTGGTGCATCCGTTATTAATGAATTAAAATAATTTAGCTTTGGCAAATGCCATCATTCTTAAGATCAATTGTTTCTTGTGTATGTTTCCTAGATTATTCTTAAACATACATTTTGAGATCTTAGTGTGGGAATTTATGAAGGAGACAAGTTCTTCAAAGCTCTTCCCTTTATCCTACTGACATCACCGCTGTCTGTCTGGGTTCATCTTTAGCCAGTTGCACTTTGTGTAGGCACTGATCTCTGTTAGAGAGAAGGTGCTGTTTTACATCTGCCATAAGAGATGTAGAGCTGGCTATCAACTGCATGTTACTGACACTGTTTTTAAAGATCTTGCATGGTGGCTGTGCAGGAGGGAAAGGGGAGGTTCTTTGCCTTTGCTCTAGGAACTGCAAAATCTTCAGCTGCAGATTTACTCCATACCTGCTCAGTTCAAGTTGTTCCTCTGTGACTAAGCAGAGTACTTCCCATGGCGAGGAACTGTCCTGATACTTTGCAGAGGAAATGGATCAGATTACAACCGGAGATGTTTGTCAGTGGTAGTCCAGCAACATCTTGAGGACATCGAGGTTAGGTCATCTCTGCTTTTGTCTAGACTAGTGATGTTCACTGACATTCAGTATATATTGGGAGAATTTAGTTCCACAACCTGTTCTTTGGACCCACCTCCTTTCTGGCTGCTGAAGCTAGTGGGGAAATACTGGATTTTAAAGAGAGCAGATGACAAGCTGGTGTTAAAATGTGCATGCCAGCCTGTTTTACACTGACTGTCAACAGTCTCTGGGGGCTGTTTCAAAATCTGGAGTTCATCAAAGCACACTGGTATTCCAGCCATGCCTTTTAGTAAAAGGCTTTTACTTCAGGAACAGGGAGGGATGCTGGCATAGGAGCTGCAATGGCAGCAGAAGAGTTTGAATTTGTTTGGTCTCATTCAGATGCTAAACTTACTTGACAAAGACTTTTCTGGTCCATCAGGTGACCTTTGTGTATTTATAATGCATAGGAATCCAGACCTGGATTTCTACATGTCAGAGAATGGTCATGTATATGGACCATTTGCGTAAATGGTACCTGCTGTAGAGATTTGAGCACTGGATGTTCCCTTCTGTTTACACAGGAACAAGGTAGAAGAAGTCAGTAGAAAATGGGTGGGGCCAACAGCTTAGCTCCATCCGCTCCTGCTCTCAAACTTACCTCATCTCTTCTACAGTATTGTTATGGGAATAAGGCTGCCTGCATCAGGAGGGCCAGGTAGCAGCCACTTTACACGGATGGAGCTAAGCTTCTTTTTAGATCATCAAAGATGCAAGTGGCAAAGCAGAGATAGTAACTGATTCTGGAAGCAATATTAATTTCCACACTGCAAGGTCCCTTCTCCTATGAGGGAGAAATCTGACTCAAAGGATGGAGTAGCTAATATCAGCAAGGCTTATTAGGCAGTGGTTACATACTCAGGCGGTGAGAGAGAGAGGAGTTTTGGACCTCCTTTCCCCATGGATCTTTTAAGGTTTGCATGCCAAAAGCTCTGCCACCTCCACTGTCACCAAACCCCTTCACTGTGTTGAGAACTTCTGGTGGCTTTTTCCTCATGGGAGAATAAATCTGACCCCCTGTAAAAAAGGGGCTACAGGAAATAACATCTGTACAATGGGTGACCATTTTAATTGGGAACTTGCTTGAAGAAGAAAATAGTGAAGTAGAAATATGAAGCAAAGAACGTGCCTTAGGGCCTATTGGGGTACTGTTTGATTGTCTTGTATGACACATAAGTACAGCTAATTGGTAGTTCATTAACATCTTACATTTAAATGCTTCACTGAAGCTAGATCATTATAAACACATGTAACTAGTGAAAAAATGTGCAAGATCGAAGATTCAACATTCATTAACATAATTAGCTTAATATGGAATAGAGAGTTGTTTTAGCTAATAAAGTTATTATATAGGAAATGATAAACTAATGTGACCCCAAATCCTTTCTAGTTTGTAATAGGAAGGCATGAGCTGCATTTGCTCGGGGCCGCGCAATGTGATTTAGCTCCTCATGATGAATTGCATAAGGATCAAACTTAGGTCACAGGTAGACATAATGGGATGATTTTTGTAAGCAAAAGCCAATAATAAAAAATGGATGATGCTGACTTGCAGGAAGGCAAAATAATGCTGCATTTCAAAACTAGTTTTCCGATGAAGCAAAAGCTTTCTGATTTTAAATCTCATAGGCAATGCTATTTAAAGATACTCTTTATCCTTGAGTCCGTGCTGTTCTTACTCATCTGAAAAGCAAGAGTTGAACATAGATTAGCAAATTGATTTAGACCGATTACCTTGTACAGCTGGCTCTGTGTCTAAGACACATGTTGCAATTAGAGTTGAGAAAACTATTTGCAATGACCAGCGTATTTGACAAATTTGTCTTTTTTTTCCTGTTTGCAAATTATCCATGAACAAGCTTCACCTTTTACAAAATTGCTTGTTTGGTATTATTCTGTGAAAGGTTTGTGCAGAGGTATTTCATCCTGTGAATTTCTTGTGAACTGTTGCTATGGCTGTTGCTTTAAATACTCACCATCAGTAGGTTGCTACTTGTCTTGTCTTAACAGACAGGTTAGTCAGTCACGTGGTCTTTGTTCCTTGAGTCAACGACTCTGAAATCCAAAAGACCTGTTAAAAAGGCTGCATGAAACATATTCATAAATGACTGCTTATATGAATATACACATTTGCATGAGCATTCACAGCACTTTCCCATTATGGAGATATTCTTGCAAACAAAATTTTACAAAATTCAGAGAGAAAGGATAGGTCAGTGCTTAGGGCATTAGCCTAGAACTTCAAAGTCCCAAGTTCAA